AACTCATGTGCCACTCACTCTCTGCTGAGTGTTCTTCTTAACTGCACTCATATCCACTTGGGTGAAAGACTTAGCAGACTGAAAGAGTTTTCTAGCAAGTTTGACCCAGAGGTAGGTACATTGTACATTTCGTACAACTGTGGCTACTCCTCCATCACTGTGCGTGTAACTACAATAATATTGTATAGAACCACTCCCACACATGTACATTTAAATGCATTGATTGAATAATCAAATTAGGATCCCTAGGCTCCCTCCTTTGCTCCTCCCTTGCTCGCTGGCTTGTTCGATCTTTGCCGCACCTGGAAAAGGAAAGGAAACATCTGCTACGCAGGCTAGTCATCACCTTTTGACTTAAATCTTATGAGATGTGTAAAACAACCACAAAGATGCCTCTAATCTTGGCAGCGAACATAAAATCTTCCCTGTCCATTTTTCAAAAGACGCCATAATTTTTTGGTATTTCTCTCTGTCAGGGAAGAAAACAGTTGAGAACGAAAATTTATTTTTCATCTTGGTAACTCCATGGGGTCAGTGAACATTTTTCAATTAATATGAATAATTAATAACTAATTCATCTTAACATTTTCTGCTGCCATGCTTCCTTCAGTGGTGTAAACTCATAATTTCACACTTTATTCTGACTTGGGCCAATGATGCTCGAAACATCACCCTCAATAACTCACAACAGCAGATAATTTTAATTGCCTTTGTCAAAGTCTCGAAGCATCAGCATCCAATAATTAAATACATGATTGTATGTTTTCTATTAAACAATTAGATTATGAGCTCGAGACTTCTATTGTGTGACAGTTGATGAGGGCGCAGCCCGAGTCAACTATCACACATAGAGATCAAGAGTGAATAATCATTTTAGTTCAAATCTACGTGTTGTTCAAAACTTTATCTAAATCCTCTTCACAGACACTTTGGAAATGCCAAGAAGTGGCTGTCATTTTGTTAACAAGGGTACACTGCTACTCTACTCACTATCTACCACAGAGTAGATAGTGAGTAGTGTAGCCTATCAGAGAGCGACATTCATGAAAGAATGCTAGTAGATTTATACTGTTTCTATTAAACAATTATTAGATTATGAGCTCAAGATTTCTAAACGTGATAGTTGACAAGGGCACAGCCCTAGTCAACTATCACGCATAGAAATCGAGAGCAAATAATCTAATTGGAGGCTTTCGTGCAAAAAGGGNTTGGCAGCGAACATAAAATCTTCCCTGTCCATTTTTCAAAAGACGCCATAATTTTTTGGTATTTCTCTCTATCAAAGAAGAAAACAGTTGAGAATGAAAATTTTGGGAGAACTCGAAAGCTGTGGAAAGCTGTGGAACCACTTGCCTGCAGCTCGTGTTCCCACAGCATTTCCCGTTCTCCCAAACTTTCACTTGTGTTTCTATTAAACAATTAGATTATGAGCTCAAGATTTCTAAACGTGATAGTTGACAAGGGCACAGCCCTAGTCAACTATCACGCATAGAAATCAAGAGCAAATAATCTAATTGGAGGCTTTCGTGCAAAAAGGGCCCATGAAGCATTTTGGGTCGATTTTTATTTTTTGCAGGATGGAGCTAATTTTTGGCAAACTGACTTGTTTTGACATGAAAAACATCGTTACGTAATTGTTTTTGTTGATTTACACTTCGTTTTCAAGAAATAACGTGTGCAAAAAAGCTCAGTTTTCCAAGCGGCATCTTTTGGAATGAATCCTTCGAAGGTGGATTTTGACGCAGTGCGAACTTAAACAGTTATGTTTAGCAGCTTCGACAGCACG